CCCACAAAAAAAAGGGAAAAAATCAAAAATTTAGAAAACGGCCCTTAAATTTAGGAGTATTTAGAAGACCTCCTTTAACTTTAATATTTATCAAAAACACTCCTAACGGCATTAACCGCAATTTATCATATGCGGTAAAATTTCACAGGAAGGTGTTTTTCCCAGTGCAAATTGCTGTTTGTTCATCTGCATCGCAAGAGCGCTTGACCATTCACACTTTTAAGGGTCTCTTTTTGATAAAACCTTAAAGTTAAAGAGGGCTTTCTGGTAACAACTTAAGGGTTTTTTCCTGATAATTTGAAAGTTTTGGGGGATTATCTGATAATCGCCAACATTAAGGTGGTTCTTCTGATATTTAGCCGAAAAAGTTATGCAGCAGATCATACTGCATATTGTAAATCTTATACTTGTTGATTGAATATGTTGCGTGAGTATCTAGAAGTAACCATGCGTGCTATCTGACTTTGTGAACCTTTGAAGAACCTTACCACCTTGTGCAGCTATATGTTATGGTTGTTTCTCCAAGTGTGTGAGTACTTGAACCACTCTGTGACACAATGTTTATGGGTGTTTGCACGATAACTAATTGTTCCAGGTATTGAAAAGTTGATCCACAGAACTACTTCCTGCCTAAAAAGAAGCAATTTCTAAAATTCTTGTTCTACTTTTCAAAACCTTGGACATTGTTTAAAGTTACTTGTTTTGACACTTTGTTGTGCTGGAAATTGATTTAATTAGTGAAATTTTATTTATAGTGAGGTAGATAAACTACAGTTAAATTTTCAATGTGGGACTAAATAATCTTAGAATCTCCAAACCCCTAGAATCTCATGAGTTCTAATATGATAAGAAGGTATTTTTACACATAACACCCTAATATTTATATATATTTTCCAACACTTATTTTCAAACTGGGGCATAGACATCATACAGACGCAGCTGGTAACAAATAAAGGACTTGTGTTCTTCCAAATGGTTTTGTTGAAACTTGAAAGATCTGTCAGCCGATTAATGGATCATATGCATGTTTGCATGTGGAGAGTAACTGCTACAGGCATACTGATAATGGATGGATCTCTAGAATACTATACAGATGAAGCCTTACTGTGTATCTTGCTGAATTTTAAGTTCTAAGCCATGTCGCAAGGTTCACGCCACATAACAAGCATAATAAATAGTGACATTTAATTTCTTGTTGTTGGGTGTTTCTGAGATTCCGTAATCCTGATGTTTTTCTCGAATGAGATCATTTGATTCACAACTGGGTGAGAAATTGATTCAGGATATCTACTTCCAGTTCTCTCTTTTTTTTGGCGTTAGCTTTGCAAATATACTATAAGGAGTAGTGTAATGCATGTTACCTCTGAAAAATAACAATTTTGGATGAACAGACAGTAGCAGATTTATTAATCCCATTGATGTTGTGTCAGTCACTTGGTCCAGCAAAGTTTATCAGAAGTAATGATTAGATACACTCAAGCCAAAGATAGATAATTGATTATATTGTTGGAATCAAACAAGCTTTATGTGGAAGCCTGGATTGTGATCTCTCTTTGGCATGTTGGAATTTGGTACTAACTGAGATAAGGCAGTTGATAAATGATAATAAAATTTCCTCAGTCTAAAGCATTCACTATCAATGTAAATAGGACTAGAATTGTAGAAAGGAGGCATAACAAGGTGTTGAACACTTAAATTGTTTCTTTCCTTTCTTGTGGATATAGTTAAGTGCTTTCAAGCAGACTCAAAAACAATTATACTTTAACTGATTTCTAATTTTTTGATACCCTGGCTATATTTTATACTTTATTGTGCCCATGTTATTGGCTGCCTGATTATTTGCATGGCAGGATTATTTCTTGACAACATACAAGTTTCTGGAACTCTCACCGCATGTGCTGATACCAATGCATGGTAGAATCAACTTATGGCCCAGAAGGATGCTGTGTGGATACCTCAAGTATGACATTATTGATTCATTTTAACTGTGATTCAAGTTATGACATTATTGATTCATTTTAACTGTGATTCAAGTTATTATACTTGACTAAAATTTTTCCTCCTAACAATCAAAATACTCTAAAGCACAGTGTCCATGTTAAAAGTAGTCAGCCATTTACCAGTGGAAGCTTTTAGTTCAATACTGTAGTAAGTTATTTATTATGGTCTCACACTTAGCCAAGCTGATAAGACTAGGTGCTTATCATCTTGATAGCGAAGTGCAAGTTTGAAGGATACTTTCTCTGTTATGTACATAGTAATGGAAAGTAGAACATTCTGATTTTGAGAACTCTTTCTTTGCTGACTCTGATGGCGAATCATTTTGATCATTGAATCGTTTTTTATTCTGTTACCTTGAAAACATGCTGTATCAACCCTCTTGAGCTACTTTGTAATATGTTGGCACTGTTAACTATATCCTGTCAAAACAACTTTTACTATGCAGGAATCGCAGAAGTAGAGAACTGTCGATTTTGCAAGCCATAGAAAGTGGTGCACGGACATTATTTGATATAACTGCCAAGGTATATGCTGATGTGGATACCAAGTTGTGGCTTCCAGCTTCGTCAAATGTGAGAATTCATGTTGAACATTTGGCTTACCAAGAGAAGCTACCACAGGTGACATACATTGTTTATATTTTTCCATAGTATGTGATAACCATTTATGCTATGATTCCACTAACAGGATGCTAGATACTATTATAGTTGGATAAAATAAAAACCTTCCCTGGTAATGTAATACCCCAACCCTTAAGAGGGTGATGTGATTAGTATTGATAGATTTGATTGGAATACTCATACCATCAAGATGCATCTTCTTTTCGGGAACCCAACTCTTAGAAACTCCAAAGTTAAGCGTGCTTGGCCTGGAGAAATTCTAGGATGGGTGACCCCCCCTGGAAGTTTCCAGGGAGCGCGTGAGTGAGGACAAAACGTGCTGAAAAGACATGTGGTGGTTTGTGAGACCAGTCCATCAGATCTAGTAGCGTACCGACTCCGGGATTCCGGGGCGGGGCGTTACAAATGGTATCAGAGCAAAGCCAACCGGAATTATGAGAGCTAAGTGCTATGCGGCGCAAAGTGCTACGTCGAGAGGGCGGGAGCCACCTCTTGAGGCCGTAGGAGCCACGGATGGTACGGTCTTGGATAATATGATTTGGCGCAACGAGGACGTTGCGAGTTTAAGTGGGGAAGTTTGTAATACCCCAACCCTTGAGAGGGTGATGTGATTAGTATTAATAGATTTGATTGGAATACTCATACCATCAAGATGCATTTTCTTTTCGGGAACCCAACTCTTAGCAACTCCAAAGTTAAGCGTGCTTGGCCTGGAGAAATTCTAGGATGGGTGACCATCTGGGAAGTTTTCCAGGGAACGCGTGAGTGAGGACAAAAACGTGTTGAAAAGACATGTGATGGTTTGTGAGGCCAGTCCATCAGATCTAATAGCGTACTGACTCCGGGATTCCGGGGCGGGGCGTTACAGGTAACCTGTAAAACAAATGTTAGGGCCCTGTTAGGTACGAAGGTCTACATCTTGAGTAAAAAAATCCACCTGTTCTTTTGTCACATTCTACATCCCTTGATGCTTGATCAGTGACGCAACTACTCTTTTAACTGATATAATTTTATTCGGCTTTTTGGGCCATTTGTGCCTTAGAGAATTGAAAACCAGTTCTTTGTACGAGATCTTATATCTTCCACTGTTTTCTACTGGAATTTCATTGGTGGCTCTTTGTTGAATGACTAAAAACTTCTTGAGCAGAGAAATTTTATCCATTGTCTGCCAAGTTGCTGTCAAGGTTTTATGACAGAAACTTCTCGGCCACTACTTTTTTTTTGGGGTACTAGGGCATCATCACCTGGATGTAAGACTTGTTTACTTTTATTACAAGAAAGTTATCAGAACAAAGATGAAACTGTCTTCCATCGTAAGCAAGTCCCGAACTTGGAAAACTAATAAAAGTGTTCCATCGTAACCAAGTTGTAGTCTAATAAATGCAGCCATCTTGACATCCAACTTTGTCAGTATCGTTTTTCTTGATTAAGCAATGACACCAATATCTTTTTTGTTAATGGTGCAGGATTTTTCAGTTGAAGAGTTCTATCACAGTTATCATGCATTCCTAGAGAAGCTGAGTTCTAATAGCATGAAGAAATAGGAGTATATATATATTGCTTTATTGTATTCTTATATATATTACATACTTCTCCCCCTCATGTAATAAACTTTCATGTATAAACAAAATGTCCAAAATAAATTAAAGTTGGGAGCAATGGATTTAATTATTTATCTTATTGTATTTATCAGTAAATTACATGCTTCAATTAGAAAATGACGAAAGTTTTAAATGATTTTATCCTTGTCTACATTAGAAAAATTTTAAATATACGTGCTGCTGCGAATTTGTCTTTGCCTTTCAACTGGTTTAGGGGGTCTAAAAGAAGCTACATTGGCTTTGCAGGAGTTTTCCATGAAAAGATTCCAAGCATCTTGTCATTTGCGTTTTATATCTCTATGGACATGGACTTATGTGAAAAGATGTCATTCAAGTTCCATTAAAGTGCTTGCAGTTCTCAGTGTTGCTGGTTTAGCCTTATTCCTTGCAGCTAAATGCAGACTTGGAAAAGAAGTCAACTTTATGTTATGAGAGAATATAGAAGGTAAGATCTAATTTTAATTTTTATTGCGATATATTTATTGGCCAGGCTTGTATTTTATGGGTTCATGAACAAAGGCTTAGCATAGTAAAACAATAAGAAGTTAAATTTTTCCTAGGCTTTTGAAGGTTAAAATCCATGAATAAAAACAAAAGTCAATATAAATAGTATTAAATCGCGTTTTAACTTTATAAGGGTTAATTGTAGATAGACCCTCTTATAATATTGTTTTTTTTGAACTTACTATCCTTCTAATTTTATGTTTGTGGGTAGACCTCTTAAGTGGAGCTTTTTTACTCTTTTACTTTGAGGGATCTATTTGCAATAATAAAAAAAAGCAATTTTCACTTCAATAGAACTTGAGATGCATTTTTCACACAAGTCCATGCCCATTTAGATATAAAGTGCAAACAGAAAAAAAATGTTGGGAAATATTTCATGGACCTGCAATGCTAATGTAGTTTATGTCGTGTCTAAACAAATGGGTATCAATCATGACAACGGGGGAGTTGCTGTGAAATCTTGTTTGGGCTGTTGTGTCGTAGGTAGCGGTGCATAAAAATATCCATATTTGAGGAAATATTATTATCAGTATTTGTCAGGATGCGGATATGGCTATTAAAATCTATATTCGATACGATATGGTTATAAATATGGATATGTCGTGAAATATCTAGCTCTATATCCAAAATATCTAAATATATGTTGGACATATAGTTATACTAGTTTTAATACTTAGATCCATGGATTTGTGGTTAGTTTTGATGATCAAGATATCTAATCTTAGCTATTTTGGATGTAACGAAGATAACGAACTTTCTTACATCATATGAACTATATTTTTTTAAATGTTATCTAGTTTTCTTATGTTTATTTTGTATCCCCATGTATATCCGTTTATATATTTGCATGTATATATTTATCTGAATTCGATTTAGCAGATATGAATATGGATTTTTTTATCAAGGCAATATTCATATCGTGATATGGATATGATAAATATCATATTCGAGCTGTATCTGAATCATCAGCACCCCACTGGACCATAGAACGCTAATAGAGATAGGCTGCGTGCTTGAGTGGGCTGACTTTTGGGCTTAAGGAAAATGTCTCAACAATACGCAAGGTTCAAATATGTGAGGTCTTTCCTCGCGAATTCGTATCATGGATCATATACACTACAAGAGATTCATCGTATATCATCCTAACGGTAATAGTATACACAGCATAGTATGAGTAAGCAAATAGTCTAGAATAATATGGGTTTGGTTCTAAATTATTCGATTGAGTTGCACAGTCAAATATATAACCGTGGATAAGTCCAGCTCAATTGACAAATTTGCATGCGCATATCGTTCCTAATCCGCACATTTATGCTTAAATTAATTTACTACAAGTTTGGGCTGACGGTAAAAAACAAAAGGCAACAGCAAAATCTCCTACGTGCATGCAGCACTCCAAAGTATTTTAATTATGGTCATGTAATATCAACCTAAAAAACTTTTATTTTTTTTCCCTTGACGCGAACATATAAAAAAACTTTAAAACAGGAGAAACTCTAGCCATGAAGCAAACTAGCTCATTCATGAAGGAACTAAGTGTAACATTTAACTTGTTCTCTAAAGTTTCAAAGATGGCTTTTTTTATCCTGTAGAAAGTCAAGGGAATATTCCTACCAGTTGCATTTTAGTAGCTTCTCCCCGAAGTTATCTTACAACAAACTTGAGAACCAAATTAAACCAACACTTGTCACGAAGCGTGGATTATATATCACTTGAGGCTCCTTAAATGTATTGATCATTGACTTTTGGCAAATGATTGATGTCAAAGCTTTGACCCTTCCACTATATCAAAACTCATAACCCAACCTTGAGCCCCATTTTTATGGGTTGAAATCTGAATTCTCTTTAAATTTGTGGATGTTGAGAATTGAACCTTGGATTGCTCTGATACCATGTTAAAGAGCTATGTTATTACACCAAAACTCTTATCAAAGAACAAGGATGAGGAAGGCGTGACGTAAGTCAAAGAACAAGGTTAATCTTGTCAAGAACATGCAAAAAGCTCGAGACACAATTAAGTTGAAACGCACAAAAAAAGAAAAAGGGTCAACACGACATATGTAATTTATCAAAATGGCAAGGTTATATGTTGCTATAAAATTCCACAAACAATTATTTTTCAAAAAGAATATATACAAAAAAAAAGTATAAAAGGGAGACATCTAGATCTCCTATGTGTTCTCCTATGTCTCCTCACGTCCACCACTCTCATTCCACCTTCTTCTCCTTCTTCCCTCTCTTTTTCCTCCTTCCTACAAACAATCAAAATACGCAACCATCATCCCATCCGCAATGAAAGCAGCCCAATATTCTCAACTCCCGATACACCACCAACTACCATCCTCCTCTTCCATGCATCAGACCTCCAACCCCCTCAAGCTCCTCTCATGCTTCCTCCTCTTCGGCATTGGCCTTGTCCTCGGCACCATGCTTAGCTCCTACACCAAGTCCTCCCCCTTCAACACCCTCCAATCCCTCCAATTCCTTCCCCCGCTCTCTCCCCCTCCTCCTCCTCCCCGTCTTCTCTCTCCTCCCCCTCCTCCTCCCCGTCTTCTCTCTCCTCCCCCTCCTCCTCCCCTTCTCTCTCCTCCTCCTCCTCCTCCGCTGCTCGTCTTCTCTCTCTCCTCTCCTCTCCTCCCCCTTCCTCCCTCCCCTACTATTATACTCTACCCTGGCCAATCTCCCGCACGCATTGGCTTAAAAGGATATCTCGAGCCTAGCAACGTGATGCACGATATGACCGAGGAGGAGTTGCTATGGAGGGCTTCAATGGTGCCTAGGATCCCCACTCATCCGTATAAGAGGATTCCGAAGGTGGCGTTCATGTTCTTGGCGAGAGGCGAGCTCCCCTTTGCGCCATTGTGGGAGAAGTTCTTTAGAGGGCATGAGGGGCTCTTCACCATTTACTTGCATTTGAGCCCGGAGTACACGGGGGACGTTGCTAAGGAGTCTGTTTTCTACGGAAGGAGAATCCCTAGCAGGGTAAGAAGTTTAATTGATTTAGTTTTCCGTTATTTTTTACATGTTTATTGGTCATCTTTTCTTGTTTTAGAGATGATTTGCTTGTTTGGAGAAAAACGGTCTGTTATGGAGGGATTGGTGTTTATTTGGGAGGTCATACTTTGTTAAATGTAGCTATAAAAGTTTAAATTGTGATGAGAACGTGAAAGAAATTTTTTGGTCAAAATCAAGGAGCCAAGTTTGAAATGGTCAATAGGATCCTTTGGCATTGTTAGGAAACATGAAGGAGATTACAATGCTGTGGTTAAATTTGAAAGGGTCAAAAGGATCTAGCTGAACCAAATATAGTTTGAAAATGGAAATATTCGTAAATACCATGCTTTCATGTATATTCGTCGTAATCATGTTCGTCCTTTGAGATTTTTATTTATTAATTTCAATTTAGATGAAATTGATAAAGACTAGATGTTCTTTCAAAAAGTTGCATTAATGCGTAGATAAATGCACACTCATCCTCTTTATTCAAGAATATGCTTTGTAAAGTAAGATAAACACCCCAAGAAAAGAACTGAGGACAAAAGAGGAAGAAGCAAAGCATTATTTACAAGGACCCACCCTATATCCTTGTTTAGGAACTTTGTAAGAAAGAAATTATAGGCTAACCGACTGGCTAGAAAAAGTTGATTGCCTTAAAATGCCACTATAATTATGCTCATCTTTTGGTGAACTAGTATGGATTCGGATCCTCTACACTAATGTAGCGGAGGGACCACCACATTTTCACGAACGTTGATTATTTAATGGATGCTTATGATTTTTTTTTTGAGTTCGAATTAGGAATGAGTGTAATACGTAGGGGTATGATGAGTGTTAGATTTAGAATAAATCACAATCATCCACAAAATAGTCGTTGATTGTCATAAAAAATAGTAGTCTCTCCACTATTTTTTTTTATAGTGGAGATGATCCGAATCCTTTTAAGGACAAAGCTTTTGGTTGAAACAGTTAGAAATTTAATGCTCTTTGATATCCATCACTATAGTTTGTTAGCTAGATAAAGAATGTGTAGTTCGGTAGTTGTTCCCTCTCAAAGGCTCGTTAAAGATATCATTGATAAAGGATTAGGAGTCTTCTAATTTGTTCTACCTATAACTAGAATTTTAAGGTGGATGTACCCCATTCTTCATTTCTTCATGCAAATATTTTGTAAGTAAGATAATGATGCCAATAAAGTTTAGGAAGAATATTAGTGGAGAACTAAATGCCGAGTCCTAACCATCTGAAATTTGGTGCCATTAATTAACACCAAATTTTGCTCCAAAGTTTGTGGAACAACTTCCAACTCCCATTTGACCCCAGTGTTTAAAATTGAACTTTAATTTGAACCGCCGGTTTGGGAGGTCAGGATTCTCGAAATCTTGATTGTAGAACAAATCTATAATTAGCTACGTGAACTAACACTATTGGTTTATCTCAGTAGGTTTCACAATTAAATATTTTTTATGTGATTTAAATAATTAATATTATTCATGTGGTCCACTGAATGAGTAAATTTAATTGGTGAATTGTAGAGTTTCTCCGCAACTAAGAATGTAGAGGATCTCTACCCAATTAAGATATTGATTGCATCTTTCACTTAGTTCATTATCGCAATTCATCATCTAATTCTGCTACAATCCAATTCTTCCCTGAATCTCAGCCAGTTGAATGGGGCGAAGTAAACATGATCGAAGCTGAGCGCCGCCTCCTCGCCAACGCCCTCCTCGACTTCTCCAACCAACGCTTCGTCCTCCTCTCCGAAGCCTGCGTCCCCCTCTGGAACTTCGAAACCATCTACTCCTACCTCATCAACTCCACCCAAACCTTCGTCAGCCTCTACGACGACCCCAGCTCCACAGGCCGAGGCCGCTACAGCAAATCCATGCTCCCACAGATCCACATCGACCAATGGCGTAAATCCTCGCAATGGTTTGAGGTCGACCGCGAATTAGCCGTCGCTATCGTCTCCGATGACTTCTACTTTCCTGTGTTTCAGAAGTTTTGTCACGCACAGTGGGGTTGCTATGCAGACGAGCATTATCTGCCGACGATGATCAACATAAAGTATGGGGCGAAGAACTCGAACCGGAGCGTGACGTTCGTCAACTGGTCGCTGGGCGGGCCCCACCCGGCGAGGTACTACCGGAAGCAGGTGACGCCGGAGCTGCTAAGGTGGATGAGGGAGGGGAGCACGTGCATGTATAATGGGCGGCCGACGAATATTTGCTTCTTGTTCGCGCGCAAGTTTTTGCCGAATGCGCTGATTAGGTTCGAGCTGTTCGCGCCGAAGGTGATGGGGTTTGGTTGAAATTTTGGGGGATGATGATTGGTAACACTTGCGAACTAATTGTATTATTATGACATTAACTCAAAATGTATTTAATTGCAAATTGTATTCATTAATTCGTTTTATACATGTAGATCAATTGTACAAGTTCTAGAAATATGATTGTACATTCATTTTTTTAAAAGCTGTTTCTTTCTTTTTTTAATTTTTTTTTTCCCTTCCTTCCCCGGAAGGATTATACTCAGTCAATATATTTTCAATGTGCTGTGTATCCACAACACGGAAAACAACAGACTATGTAATACACGTGTAAATATGCAAATTCAAGGTTGTTAACAAGTATATACAAATGATTAAAAGATTAATATTCTTATCCACCGTCTCAACGAAAATATTTCATGTGCTCGTTTAAATGAGTCCGGAAATGATAACTTCTTCCTTTTTTTCTGTTTTTCTTTTTTTTCTTTTTTTTTAGGAAAAAAATTTGATAACTTCCACTAAATGATAACTTCACTCAGCGTGCTTAAATTTTGTTAGCTTAGACCTACTAGCTAAAACTAATATGGTGGATCAAATCCAATATTCCGATCATTTGTATAGCCATGTCCAAACGGGCCAGCCTGGATAACCGGAGCCGATCAAAATCAGAGCCCGAACCTAGACCCGGTTGGCTAGGGTAGAGCCCGGGCCCGAACGGGCCGGGCACAGGGACAACCCGTTATTTTTGTGTTTTTTTAATTTTCAATTTTTTTTATTTCTTTAAATTTTCAAGAATACATAGCAAAAAATTAAACAAAATTTTAATAAAAATAATCATATTATTAATCACTTATAATTACATAATTTATAAATACAAAAAAAAATATATAAATTAAAATCATAAAAATAAATTCTTTATTAATAATCAGTTAATCATCTACAATTATAAATTTATTTTAGAATTCGTCGCATCACAATAGATGAATACATCCAAACTAGGTTGGCACCTACTCATCTATATCACTATCATTTGCAACTGTTTTCAAAATAATTTATCATAAATTTTTAGTTATGAAATAAAAATTACAAACTGATGAACTCTTTATATCTATTTGCTACTCCTGACTCTTTAAATTTATCTTCAAAACCAGCCATCCGATCGACGTCTTACTTTTCTTCTCGTACATTCATCAATCTTGTAAGCGCATTATCTCTTATACGGTATATGAATCTAACGATGTCATGTGATCGTCGATCAAACGTCCAGTTGTGCTGAAGGCGGATTTCGAAGCTACCGTGGAAGCATGCACTGTTAGTAATGTAGGATCTGAAATAGATACACTTGAACACTAGAGGGGGGGTGAATAGTGTTCTTTTAAAATTATTGCAAAGTAGATAATAAATTGCAAAGAAAAAAATGGCAATCTCAGAAATTTGCAAACACAAACACAAGGATTTTATACTGGTTCCACCAAACTGGTGTACATCCAGTCCCCAAGCAAATCCCGCTTGAGAGTTTTCACTATGATTTTGAATAAACTTACAAAATCAAATGCAAACCTGACCAATTTGCAAGTTCCTGCAAATTGCAACACCAATTGACAAACTCCTTGTCAATTTGAACACCAATCTCTAACCCAAGAGACTAACCCTCTCACAACCGAGAGAAAACTTGTTGAAGAAGAACACAATGATCCTATAAGCCTTGAATGTGTAATAATGTGCAGCAGTGGCTTAGGATTCTTTTAATCTTTGTAAAATTGCCTAATTGATTTGTTTTTGATGAAAGTATATAGGCAATTTCAGAAACTCTTCTTTTTCAGAAAATCAGAATGTTTTTCACTTAGGAAATTGCTCAAGAATCAAAGCTTATGGGTATGTATATTTTTTTAATTTTTCTGAACAAATAACCTATATATACCCCTTGAAAAGACAAGTTTTTAAAGTTTGAAAACGTTTAAAAACGGCCAAAAACTGTCAGATATTCAAATTCTGAAAACTGAAAAACTGTCTCTTGTAGTCGACTACTGTAGTCATTAGTCGACTACACTGAGTTCAGACAGACTCTGTGTTTTCGGAAAATGTTCTCAGTAGTCGACTATAATGATAATTAGTCGACTACACTGAGTTCAGACAGAAACTTGAAAATTTATATTTTTCTTCAGTAGTCGACTACTGTAGTCATTAGTCGACTACACTGTAAAAAGACAGAAACTTATGTTTCTGTCAAACATCTCAGTAGTCGACTATAATCTCTATTAGTCGACTATACTGTAAAAAGACAGAAACTTGTATTTGAGTTATATACATGAGTAATCGACTACTATCCTAATTAGTCGACTATTAAGATCAAAAATTCAGAAATAATGAGTTTTTATAATTAAGTTTTAACTATTATTCTAATGGTTAACATAGGGGATTTCTATAGTTAACCAACACACTAAGCCTGTGTTAGTGTATTCTAAAAATGTGTGATGCGAGTTAATCGACCCCCTTCATCGACTGCATAATCATAGAAAAATCCATCACTCATCTCCTTCTTATCCGTGAACTTCTCGATGATCATTTGAGCATCTCGATCACCAATATAAAGCTTCACATCCCTACTCCAATTTTTAAACTCGGTACACGTAGCACCAACATTAGAATAACTTCCACACAACTCCTTAGCAAAGTTATATGTTTTGTTAGGCCCCATGTTGGCTTTTGCTCCATCAAATACAAGTTTCTTATGTGCGAGACCATTAGAATAACTTCCACACAACTCCTTAGCAAAGTTATATGATTTGTTAGGTCCCATGTTGGCTTTTGCTGCATCAAATACAAGTTTCTTATGTGCGAGACCGAGAACTCTATTTGACTTCAAAAATTGTTTCCCACTACCGGAGACCAAAAAATGAGAATGCTCTTCAACGAAGGAGAGAACATTATATCCTTTCAAACCATCAAACTTAAAAACGACTTTAGGTTTGCAACCACATCTACTAGATACAGTTCTCCTTCTCTTTTTCGAACTGCTACTAAAATCCTCATAATCAACATCCATCTTTGATTCATTGCTGCCAGCTCTACTGCAAACAATGTCTGATCTCAAACCTACTTTTACGTCCATACTCTCGGTAAAACTCTATACCATCCTCTAGTGATCGGAAGCTTTGGTTTAGATAAGGTTTAAATTCAGCTCCAACCAGAGGTTTCCAATACATACCACCACTTGGTGATTCAAAAGGAATCGAGCTAACTTCGTCCATTCCATCTTCCCCAAAATCATTGTCCGATGCATTTATAACATGTGGTTCCTTAATTTGTTCATTGCTGCCAACAACTGAAAATAAAACAACATAAATAATATGGCTATATTTTGATATAATGAATCTGGATTCATGGCAATGAATTTGGATTCACTCAAGTGAATCTCGATTCACTATATTGAATCCATATTCACTACATTAAACACGTGAATCCGTTTGAACACGTTCTAGTTATTAGAGAATGTAATGATTTTTCATAATATATTCCCATGTTTTCTTTAGTGAATCTGGATTCAATGAATTCAAGCTCTCCAATTAAATTGGCATAAAATGTTCACGAATATAAACTCCTAGATAATAAGTCATATGACTAAGTTTTGATATACTGAATCGGGATTCATCGCAATGAATCTAGATTCACTGGAGTGGATCTAGATTCACTGCATTGAATTCATATCAATCTGGAGTGAATCTCAATTCACTGCATTGAATCCAGATTCACTGCAGTGAACAAGTGAATAAATTATGAAAAACACTGCAATCTCTAACAATGAATCTCGATTCAATGCAGTTAATCTAGATTAACAACTATAACGTGTTGAATTGAATTCAAACTCTCCATTTAAATCTCCATAAAATGTTTAAGAATGTAAGCTCCTATATAATAAGTCATATGACTAATTATTTAAATGCTGAATCTAGATTCACTCCAATCAAAACAACTAGACACTACACACCTGAATTCAAGCTCTCAATTTAAATCTCCATAAAATGTTTAACAATGGCAAGCTGCTGGACGATGAACGAGAGAGCTGAAGAACGCTGAACGAGAGCTGCTAGACGATGAACGAGAGCTGCTGGACGATGAACGAGAGAGCTGAAGAACGTTGAATGAGAGCTGCTGGACGATTTTAACGTTGAACGAGAGCTGAATAAAGATGATCGATGAACGAGAGCTGCTGGACGATTTTTTGATTGAGAGAGAGCTGCTCTTCGTGACTGTTGGGTTGCCTGAGCCGTGAGGTTTCATGGGGAAATGGAGAACTCAACAGAGAAGAATTAATTACCTCTCTTTAGTGGGCTGTTTATTTTACCAGATTACCCTTATGCAGCTTTAATCTCAGCCATTGGATGAATCTAGATCCAATGGAGAGGATTGGTTTTTAGTTTTTAGGATAGTGAGGTTTTTATTTGAACCTCTCCCTATATATATATATATATATATATATAACTGGAGTGAATCCAGATTCACTGGAGTGAATCCAGATTCACTGGAGTGAATCCAGATTCACTGGAGTGAATCCAGATTCACTGGAGTGAATCCAGATTCACTGGAGTGAATCCAGATTCACTGGAGTGAATCCAGATTCACTGGAGTGAATCCAGATTCACTGGAGTGAATCCAGATTCACTGGAGTGAATCCAGATTCACTGGAGTGAATCCAGATTCACTGGAGTGAATCCAGATTCACTGGAGTGAATCCAGATTCACTGGAGTGAATCCAGATTCACTGGAGTGAATCCAGATTCACTGGAGTGAATCCAGATTCACTGGAGTGAATCCAGATTCACTGGAGTGAATCCAGATTCACTGGAGTGAATCCAGATTCACTGGAGTGAATCCAGATTCACTGGAGTGAATCCAGATTCACTGGAGTGAATCCAGATTCACTGGAGTGAATCCAGATTCACTGGAGTGAATCCAGATTCACTGGAGTGAATCCAGATTCACTGGAGTGAATCCAGATTCACTGGAGTGAATCCAGATTCACTGGAGTGAATCCAGATTCACTGGAGTGAATCCAGATTCACTGGAGTGAATCCAGATTCACTGGAGTGAATCCAGATTCACTGGAGTGAATCCAGATTCACTGGAGTGAATCCAGATTCACTGGAGTGAATCCAGATTCACTGGAGTGAATCCAGATTCACTGGAGTGAATCCAGATTC